GCCCCCTCCATCACCCTTGCAAGGGTATAGAGCTGGTCAACAGTTCCACGGCCAGGACGAAAACCACATTGCTCCTCCTCAATCTGAGATTCAACTATCCATCGGACCCTCCTCTCCAGTACCTTGGAGTAGACCTTTCCAGGGAGGCTGAGGAGTGTGATCACACCCTCAGGTCACCCTTCTTAAAGATGGGGACCACCACCCCGGTCTGCCACTCCACAGGAACTGCCCCCGATGACCATGCAATGTTGCAGAAACGTGACAACCCTACCACATCCATAGCCTTGAGATACCCATGACGAATCTCATCCATCCCCGGGGCTCCGCCGCTGTGTAGTTGTTTGACTACCTCAGCAACTTCTGCCCCCGAGATTGGACAGTCCATCCCCAGGTCTCCCAGCTCTGGTTCCTCCTCGGAATGAACGTAGGTGGGATTGAGGAGCTCCTCAAAGTATTCCTTCCACCGTCCGACTACGTCAGCAGCTCCCCATCCCCACTGTAAACAGTGTGAGCGAGTTGCTGCCTTCCTCTCCTGAGGCGCCAGACAGTTTGCCAGAACCTCTTTGGAGCCGATCGATAGTCTTTCTCCATGGCTTCACCAAACTCCTCCCATGCCCGAGATTTTGCCTCGGCAACTGCCACTGCTGCACCCCGCTTGGCTATCCGGTACCTGTCTGCTGCCTCCGGAGACCCACAGACCAGCCGCGCCCTGTAGGCCTCCTTCTTTAGCCTGACGGCTCCCCGAACCTCTGGTGTCCACCAGTGGGTACGGGGGTTGCCACCACAACTGGCACCGGCCACCTTGTGACCACAGCTAGCAACAGCCGCCTCAACAATCGCAGAGTGGAACAAGGCCCACTCGGAGTCGATGTCCCCCACTGCTCTCGGGACGCGGTCAAAGCTCTGCCGGAGGTGGGAGTTGAAGACCGTCTTGACAGGTTCTTCTGCCAGGTGTTCCCAGCAGACCCTCACTATGTGTTTGTGTCTGCCAGGTCTACGCAGCATCTTCCCCTGCCATCTGATCCAACTCACCACCAGGTGGTGATCAGTTGACAGTAGGGCTGCAACAACGAATCGATAAATTCGATGAAAATCGATTACTAAAAGCGTTGGCAACGAATTGCGTCATCGATTCGTTGTGTCGCACAACTCTTCCAAAAGCGCCCCCCCGCCCGCCGTTGCGCGCAGACCAGAGCAAGTCAGATCAGCGCGAGGGAGAGCCGCAGATCAGCGCGAGGGAGAGCCGGCAGATCAGCGCGAGGGAGAGCCGGCAGATCAGCGCGAGGGAGAGCCGGTACCGGCAGATCAGCGCGAGGGAGAGCCAGTACCGGCAGATCAGCGCGAGGGAGAGCCTGCAGACTTTGTGCTGCTGCGAACCGGTTCCGCATTGCTGCGCAGCGATCCAGGCAGCTGCTTCCAGCGCACGGTCCATTCTCAAAGTGGCGCAACCAAAAAACTATAATTAGCACACGATCGTTCTTGTCTGCACATGTTCTCTATTTTCTGTCTTATTTGTGCCTGAAGCGCGCTACTGCGGAGCTCATCACCTGTGCTGTGGTGATGTCACCTCACGCAGCATCGAAACGCACTCTGCGCTTTGCGGTCAGAAGATGATCTGCTCAAAAGTAACTGATGAGGTGAAAAGGTAAGAATCCAGGCGACAGATTTTCTGGAGAATTATGAGGAGATGCAGGAAGATGAGAGACAGACAGGACAGGAAAATAGTTAAATAAAAACAATAAAACAAAACAAAGTGTTGAAAAGTAAAATGTAGGTAGATTTATCTCCACTACACGTTTTTACCAGTAAAAAACAATAAGTTACACACATGTCATATTTATACATCTGATACAATTCAGATCACCTTCAAAACTCAGTCACACACCCAGGGCCGTTTCAAGACATTTTGGGGGCCAAGGCAAAATGCCCCCCCAATAACTGGGCTCCCCAGAAGCCTCTGTGTAATTCATACCCTCTCCAGGAGTATTAGTTATACGGTGTTTATAAAAGCCCCTCAGACATTACTGACATGTTCTAATATTATCAGATGAGAAACTAAATAATCAGACATGCTGTCTCATCTGCTTCTTTTCTAAACTTGCAAAAAGTAACAAAACCATTTGAAAGCCGCTATTTGTGGATTCTCTGAAAGTTTCCATGGAGTGTGTGACAACTTATTTTTTCATTGATCCTATCGTCTAATCTCACATCTGAAACAAGCATCCTTGATAATCTGTGCACAGGAAGCTTACCGATGCTGTAGTAAAACAAAAGGTATAATAATTTATTATTAATAAAACCTTGTTGCAGCACTAAAGCATAAAAATGAGATTTTGCATTAAATATGCAAAATATTTACATATGAATTGTTTTAGAGCCCTTTTATTGGCAGAATCTGATATTAATTTAGTTCTTACAAAAAATGGGTCCCAACATGGTTTGTGTGGCGTTGCCATAGTGTGACGTCATAGGCACAGATCCCCTGTCCTCTTGTTTGGAAATGGAAATATGATCACCCTATATTAAACAAACTGTCCACCCGGGCTTTTGCGCTGCACAGAGACGCTTCGCTGCCTATGACTTTGAACGTCAGTTGAGAGTCAGTCTCATGCAGACTGACCAATGAAGAGAGGGCCTCAAGTTAAGACCCTCTCCTCATTGGTCAGTCCACACGAGGTGGGTCAAAGGTTACTCTGGGCGGGTTACGTGTTGTCAGGCATTCAAGTATTGAGTATATTTACTGCATATTACAGTAAAATATTCTGTATGTGACCATATTATGGTGATCCTCGGGTCGTGATGATGGAGCCCTTGAATATTGTTGCCCAGGGTACAACAAAGTGTTAATCTGGCCCTGGTTCCGCCGTCACATTCCCGCAGAAACTGGTTGATCACACCGGGGCCAGACTACTAGCATGTGGTTTTACAACCACAATGTCCTCGGAAGCAAAAACGCTTTTAAAAGGGAGGGAGGAGTCCTAACTGTTGCTGCAGGCGTGTTGTGTGAGAGTGCAATTATATACTGGTTAATATATTTTTGGGTTCAGTTGCTTTCATGTGGCCTAATGCGAGTCTATTTGGGATCATTGGAATGATCAGCAGCATTTCTTGATGTGACTTTATGGCAGTTGCCCAGGGCATCATCGCAAGGAGGATGGCATTCATTTACTTTTGTTTTATTTGGTATTTTTTCAGTCATTTTTGGAAATAGTGATCAATTTTGATTAATTCACAGCCTATGTTTAATTACATTTAAAATAAATGTTAACAGATGAGATCAAACAAAACAGATGAGAATTGCCCTTAAGCTGTTTAACTTGGACCAAGCATTTTAGGTCACAGATAGATGTAGATTAGGGTCTCTGTCTATACACCTTATAAGACAATTTAGGTGATGGCATGTTGTTTTTCTGCTATTGAACTGTTTTCTAATAATGTTGTGTTAAATAAAGTGAAGGAAGGAGAGAAATAACGTTTCCCTAGCAGTTTTTAAAAATTTCCCAATGTAATCCGATTAATCGATTAATCGTGTCGAGACCCCATCCGATTAATCGATTATCCAAATAATCGTTTGTTGCAGCCCTAGTTGACAGCTCCACTCCTCTCTTCACTCGGGTGCCCAAAACATACAGCCGCCGGTCAAATGATACAACTACAAAGTCAATCATCGACCTGCGACCTAGGCTGCCCTGGTGCCAAGTGTACAGATGGGCATCCTTATGTTCGAACATGGTGTTCGTTATGGCCAAACTGCAGTTTGCACAGAAGTCCAATAACAAAACACCACTCGAGTTCAGATCAGGCGGGCCGTTCCTCCCAATCACACCCCTCCAGGTCAAGCTGTCATTGCCCACGTGAGCATTGATGTCCCCCAGCAGGACAATGGAGCACTATCTAGCACTCGTCCCAGGGACTCCAAAAAGGGTGGGTACTCTGAACTGATATTTGGCCCATAAGCACAAACGACAGTCAGGACCCCTTCCCAGACCTGAAGGCACAGGGAAGCTACCCTCTCGTCCCAACCCCAGCCCTCCGCCTCTCACCCGGAGCAACTCCAGCAAAGGAGAGTGTCCACCCCCTCTCAAGGACTTGGGTTCCAGAGCCAATGTTATGTGTCGAGTTGAGTCAGACTATATCTAGCCAGTATCGCTCAACCTCTGCCACAAGCTCTTGCTCCTTCCCCGCCAGCGAGGTGACGTTCCATGTCCCAAAAACCAGTTTCCTTATCCGGGGATCGGACCGCCAAGGCTCCCGCCTTGGTCTGCCACCTGATCCACATTGCATCGGACCATTCATGTTCCTCCTGCGGGTGGTGGGTCCACAGTTGGATGAGCCCATGTATCCGGTTTGGACAGGGCCCGGCCAGGTCTCATGGGCAAAAGCCCGGCCACCAGGCGCTCGCTCACAGGCCCCAACCCCAGGCCTGGCTCCAGGGTGGGACCCCGGTAACCCTACTCTACCCCAGTACTCCGACTCTTTGAATTTACATCCATGAAAGATCCTCGGAACCGTTATTTGTCTCACCCTTCACCTAAGACCAATTTGTCATGGGAGACCCTACCAGGGGCACAAAGTGCCCCAGACAACATAGCTCCTAGGATCATTAGGGCACTGAAACTCATCCACCACGATAAGGTGACGGTTCAAGGAGCTCACAGTGATAACGCACAGGTTCCTAACAAATACCCAAGAACGTCATGCTAGTGCATCATGTTTTTGTCCTGCAGACTGACCACTCTTAACTTATTTTCAACAAGTTCTAAAATATTCTGATATATTTCTTCCTAAGAAAAGCACAATGAACTGACTCTGTATGAAATGTGCTATATAAATAAACATGCCTCGCCTAATATTCACGACAAACTTTCAGACTGTTTGACCTTTACGTGACGACGACTACACCGTCTTTCAACCTGAATCAGAAAAGGAGTAATGAGAGAAGCTGCTCCATTCGTAAGACTTTATTAATGTCACAACCGTGTGTGTGTGTGTGTACTCACAGCTTTAGCAAACACTCCCATGAGCTCAGGGAACTGGTGTGTGAGCAGAGCCAACATGGCGGTGAAGGAGCAGAGACCAGCAGTGAAGAGGATGAAGAAGGGCAGCTCCTTCTTAGGGTAGACTGACACCTCATGAAACACTGCTTCCACATGGGACAGACACACAAACAGTCCAGTGTTAGCTGACAGCACCGGGCTCCAGTCTGCGCGTCAATCTAAACACCAGAGCTCCAGAGGAGGAAAACCGGTTTTCAGGTAAAAAGATTCCTGAATCTTTTGTGAATCTTTGCATAAATCAGGTGTGGGGAACCCTGGTCCTCGAGGGCCGGTATCCTGCATGTCTTTGCTCCAACACTTCTGATTCAGTGGTTAATTAACCTGTTCTGCAGCTCATTAAGCTCCGCAGAAGCTTGTTAATTACCTGTTGATTGAAATCAGGTGTGATGATGCTGGGTTGAAACTAAAATATGCTTGATAGCGGCCCTCAATGGACTAGGGTTCCCTGCCCTTGGCATAAATCATTAAGTCGCTTAAGCTACTGCTAGCAGTTAGGGATGCACAATATAAAAGCATCAATATCGGTATCGGCCGATGTTGGTCATTTTTTAACATATATCATATGTCGATCCGACATTAACAACCAATATTTTTTTCAGCCTTGTTTCAATTTTTTGTATCTGTTTCAAAGGGCGAGGATGCGTAATTGTTTAGTCATGTGACAGTGATGGCAATCATTTCAGAAGTGTGAATGTGTGTGGTGTGTGTGTAATATATCGCAAATTGCATTTTATAGAAATAAAGCAAAACATTCAAAAATTCAGTTTGCATAATTTTCTGTCTATACAGATATATATGTATATATATACACATACATATCTATATATATATATATATATATATATATATATATATATATATATATATATATATATATATATATATATATATATATCTAGATAGATAGATAGATGTATTCATTTAATAAAGCATAATGTTGTTTTTGGAGGGTAAAAAGTACAAGGAGACAAAAGTTTACTCCGTGTGTGTGTGTGTGTGTGTGTGTGTGTGTGTGTGTGTGTGTGTGTGTGTGTGTGTGTGTGTGTGTGTGTCAGGGGTCATCTCTTACTGGGTAGCAGCTCTCTATCTGCGGTCTCCGTGCAGATGGGATAAGGATAGAACAGGTGTCCCTTCTCCAGAGGATACGGGATCATTCTGAACGCTGGAAAACACAAACCAATAGTCCTTCAACTCTGTGTGTGTGTGTGTGTGTGTGTGTGTGTGTGTGTGTGTGTGTGTGTGTACTCACTGCCCTCCCAGGTGCAGTGCAGCAGATTGAGTGCCCCCTCTACCCTTTTCCAGTGCTGCAGGTGAAAGAAGGCATAAGCAATGGCTTCGCTGTCGCCTCTCTTTAGGATGTGTTCTGGAGGAAGAATCAGACTCTTCATCTCCAGCAGATACTGATGAGGAAGAGGACGGTACACATTAAAGAGGGAAGAGCTTCTGGTTAGTGAGAGTCTCTAGTTTGCTGAAGATTCCTGTTTCTTTACAATCATCAATATTTTGATCTTTGTGTTAGCTCGTTAACCACTGGATGGACTTGTCAGCGGTCTCTAGTCTAAATTCAATTCAATTCAATTCAAGTTTATTTATATAGCACCAAATCACGACAAGAGTCGTCTCAAGGCACTTCACATAATAAACATTCCAATTCACAGTTCATTAAGCCAATCAGAAATAATGTTTCCTATATAAGGAACCCAGCAAATTGCATCAAGTCACTGACTAGTGTCAGTGACTATACAGCAATCCTCATACTAAGCAAGCATACAGCGACAGTGGAGAGGAAAACTCCCTTTTAACAGGAAGAAACCTCCAGAGAATCCTGGCTCAGTATAAGCAGCCATCCTCCACGACTCACTGGAGGATGGCTGCTTATACGTTGTGAGTCGTTCTCTGGGGGGGAAAGCTCTAGCGCTCCTGTTTTAGAAGGCAGAAGTTAGCTAGATGAGAGGTGAGCAGCAGACGGGAGGTTTTGGTGAGTCTTACTCATGATTATATCCTGATATTTGGACATCTAACCTCTGACTGGCTATCAGCAACACGACTCTACCACTGACTCTGTTTGCTTTCCAACGCTGATGTTCAATCTCCCCAAATAACACAAGCCTGGAGGAGTTCTGCTGTGTGGTGGAGTTGCTAATGCTAACGGCTAGCTTCTACTAGCAGAGACGTTCTCTGCGGTCTCCTGGAAGCAAAACCAACAACAGCCTTCCTCGTGAGTCAAGATGGGTGAGTCCAGGAATGTTAGTGACAGTGTGATGTAGATCTGTCAGGCTTTTCTAATCGTAGTTTCACCGACTATTTTCCATCAGAGGCTAAAGCAGGAGATAGGTGTAGGAGACTATTTTCATGTTCAGCCTACATGAAAAACCCAGAGTCACTGATTATAAAAAACAAGCATAAAGTGACTGCTTGGTGAACGAGGGCTTCGACCCTCTGGAGTCGGTGGTATAAATAGCCATTTTGACAAGTTTTGGTGATTCCCTTTATATTTCACTCTATATTTTATTGTTTACACCTTGTTTGGTATAGTTCTCTTCAGCACAACCTCACCTATGTGAATTTAGAGTCATATCTTCATTACTACATATACTACTACTACATATACTGTATCAGCACACTGAACCTGACAGTAAACATAAAATCAAAATCTGAGAAAAAATAACATGTTTATATCAGTGAAAAGCACAAACACTTGTAACAAACCATTTTCAGCACTCGGAATGAAAGTGTGAGTAAAAAACAAATGTAGCACACAACTTTTAACGCACTATGAATTTTTACTGTGACAGTTTGGTTTTGTTGTATTTTTGTGTGTCCCCTTTTCTCTCATTCTTTCTGCAGGTCTAGAAGCACTTTCTTGTTCATAATGTATACGTTTTTTTTACTTTGTTATTGGGTGATGTGGTTTGTATCTCAGCCTAAAGGATGAGCTTGGTTTAGCTTACACCAAGTAGCAGCAAGAGCCGACAGAGAGCCCCGTTTGCAGGACTTCATCCTGCATCTGCCACAGATCGAATGCACAAAAGCTCCTTCTTCTTGGCATGAATTATTTACCTTAAATGTCTAACTTTTACTTGGATAAACATGTAAAATCACAACTGTTGTTTAGGTTTAAGCCCCCTCTGTCAAAACAAGCTGGAACACCAAGTGGTTTCCTGATTGCATAATAATGGGAGTAATGTGGCCAGCGCGCCATCACGCGCCGCGTGTGGACCGACTCCAGAGGATTAAGGAAAAGATCACAAAGTCTTCGTCTGACGCTTACAACTAATTATCAATAAGATGTTCCGACGGAGACTACACACATGGCCATGAGGCAGTCAGCTTTAGAAAAGTTAGGATTGCCTTCCATGCACAGCTGAATATCTGAAATGTGTGTGTGTGTGCGTGCGTGTGTGTGTGTGCGTGCGTGCGTGTGTGTGTGTGCGTGCGTGCGTGCGTGCGTGTGTGTGTGTGCGTGCGTGTGTGTGTGTGCGTGCGTGTGTGTGTGTGTGTGTGTGTGTGTGTGTTAGGGTTGTCACGATACTAAAATTTCAAACTCGATTCGATACTTGAAAAAAAACTCAATACTTGATTTCGATACTATTTAAAAACACCAATTTATTGAACAAGTTTATTCAAAAAATAACATTCCTCAATTTATATTGCAAAAATTAAATGTTAAGAATTAAGTGTATAAAGTGCTTAAACCTTTCATGTATCAGTATTTTTTAAAACGTGCATACAAAAACCGGCGAAAGTTAACACTTTAAATCATGAATTATCTCACTATATATTCTCTATTTGCAGAGTGATGTTTTGCTGCTTAAACTCTGTTTAAGGTGCATTTTTGTCATAAGCTGTAATGCCATATGTTTTGTTCTGTACTTTTGAACAACTCTGTTGGTCAATAAAGGGAGAAAATGAATTTCTCTACAGTAGGACAAAGGTACATCTACCGGTAATCTTAATAAAAACAGATTGGCGCACGGCAGTGACGTCATTAAAAGCGCCGGTTAGATTAGCCGCAGCTAGTCTGTTTACGCCTAGAAATCCCAGACCCGCTCCAAACGAACAGGGGGAATCACGTTAATGATTCCTAACAAAACCTTTCGACATTGAGATGTTTTGGTGCAGATAATGTGTTATTTCAAGGCTGCACCATAGGTGCCCGTCCGCACCCGTTACATGGATATACGCTGATGGTGATTCGCCGATGGATCTAAATACCCCGGGGAATCCAAGTAGCACCAAAGTTGTCAGTGTGAGTAAACAAACGTACTGCATGCTAGAAATTAAGTCCAGGTTGCAATAAACGGGAGTTTCCTTTAAGCACATAAGCGTGAATATACAACTACGTGTCGGACTTGGTATGCTAATTAAGTTGGGCTGTGAAGCGCCTCCCAAATTCGCTGTTTATGTTTTTGTTTATTTATTTGGCAGACAAAACTTGGATCGGAGACAACTCGCGTGGGAAATTGCAATGTAGCCATGCGGCGTCTTCTGTTTGTCTGGGAGGCGGAGGCTGCTTTACGGCATCTGGCTGTCGTGCGTGTCGGTGTACTTGAAGAAGGCTGTGTATAATAGTCCATAATATCGATACCACAGGGATGGAATATCTTATTTAGATACCACTTTTAGTATCGATTTATATCTAGGTATCGATTTTTTTGACAACACTAGTGTGTGTGTGCGTGTGCGTGTGTGTGTTTGTGGTCCCTCTAAGACTCACTTTGGGGACATGAGGGTTGAACTCAACTGCTCGATGGATGGCTTCTACTGCATTCATCTCTGCTGTACTCAGACCCCGCCTGGACGCTGCCTCTGGAGAGAACCTATACACACACACACACACACACACACACACACACACACACACACACAGTAATGAGTTATCAAGCTACTTTGTGTATTTAACTACAGTAAATGTGAAAACATTTTTGGTCACTTCCATACAAGTTATCTCCTGCCTTAGATTCGTCTTCCTGCTGACAGCTTTATCTGATGCGACTACCGCTCTACTCTCCTTCAATAAAGGCAAAAAAAGAAAAACTGAACAGGACAGAAAAAACTAAGATGTTAATAAAATATACAAAACTAATTATGTTCCCTCTTTGATTTATTCGTTTTATTTCCCCTTTCTCTGTTTTTCATCCATCCCATCATCCTCCACATCATGGGCATCAGAACCCGGACTGGTAGGTTAAAGCAGGAACACCCACCACTACATCTGGTGTAGTCTATGAAACTAAATCAATGATGAAAAGGAACATGAGCACTAACAGCTTGACTTAATATAAATCATCTCAAGAACCCAAACTGGGTTTTTGTGAGCTCATGTCCAGCAGAGGGCGCTGCTGTGTTTCTAATCACCTACTTTTGTAAAGGCCAGTTTAGGTTTTATTACTTCCACCTGTTTGATTACAAGTCAAATCAGCTCTGTGACTAAAATGTCTGATTAGAAAAGTTTCCTCTAAACCAGCGAGTCATTAAGTCAGGTTGTGTGAACAGTAATCAGAGCTTCGTCTATCTGATTTCATCCTGCATTCCTGCTGAAGCAGCTCTATTGAAAGAGGAACCTCAGAGCCTGCAGCCATACTCACTTGTCTGACACCGCTCTAGCTTTCAGCAAGGCTGCTGTGTAGCATATCGTTGCAGATTTGGGTAAGCTAATATCTGTAGGGAGACAAGAAGCAGCAAGTAAGGGTATGCAAGTGACAGAAATCACAGTTCAGAGGGAAACGGAGTGTTGGTTTAAATCTGAATAATGTTTGACAGGATTATGTCTTGATTTGTAAAACACCAAACTATAAAAGGGGGACTTTTAAAGTCTGTCATCCAATATTTAATCTTTTCCAGTTGTCTAGAAAAGGATCTGTCATTTTCCAGATACACCACAAACCCAAGACTAAAATCAGCTGTTTAACGTTTCGTTTTCAAGAAAACGCAGATGCAAGAGCTTAGACAGAAGCAAAGAGTATTATTGTCCCTTAGGACCTGAGGAACTCCTGAACTAGTTCACTCACATGTTGCATTTTAATGAACATTCAATTAAAACAGCACTTTCCACACAAGGCCGGGTCTGCACCATTCTGTTCATCTACTTTAAAATTGGAGACCATCAAAGCAGCAGAGCACGGGCTGGGGTATGAAGCTACGAGTCCCGGGATACTCCACCAGGACCCAGACCTTCCTGCTGAGTGAGGTTTTGATCAGTCAGAGGTTAAAGGTCAGTGGTGCCGCCTCACCGTCATACTTGGCCAGAACCGCCTGGACGTCAGCGTAGTTCTGGAGCTCGAGGAGCGACTCCAGCAGGTTTTCATGAATGTTGAACATACTGAGGAGAGGGAACTCCTTCATTAACTGGAAAACACACAACTGTTGTTACATGTAAAATCAGACAGGGGCGACACAGTCAGCATACAGCAGCTCCCACCTAAGCTACACCCAAACTCAAGCTGTTTTAAAACTCTGTGTGTGTGTGTGTGTGTGTGTGTGTGTGTGTGTGCGCTCTTACATCTCTCATCATCTTCACGGCTTCTCGTGTTCGGCCCAGCTTTCTGGAGCACATGGCCAGCCTCCTCTTTATGTACACCAACACGTTTGTGTCTCTTCCTGTTCAGACACAAAAGCATGACCTAACAGTGGTAGTTTCTGACTTGTGTGGGTTAGGGAGGAGTGTGTTTCCTACTCACTGTGCTGGGCTTCGTACTGGGTACCGTGATGCTGCAGCTGCTGGCTGCGGCGGTAGCAGCCCTCGCCAGCTTTTAGTGCTTGTTTAAATAATCGCTCTGCCTCCATGATGGTGGTGGCCTCCTCCTCTGCCAGAAGGATGTATGCCGTCGCACAGCTACAGGAGGACAAGAACCACAGTGAATTACAGCTTCTTGCTTATCAGGACAGTGTGGAATCTCAGGAGTTTCAGAACTGCTCCCAGAACCTGCAATCACTGGACTGGTACCAGCTCAGGGGAACCTGAAAACGGTGTGAACTAGTGGGTATCTCTCCTCCACACGAGTCTGCTCTACAGATGTTATCTGATGCACACCAGAAACCTTTTTCCAAATGTAACAAATCAGATGATTATCAGAGAGCTGGTTTTAAAGCTGGCATCTGTTTGAGGAGCCTGTGATGGGTGGTTTATGAATTAAAAGTGCTCGAGTTTACAGTAATAATGTCTATGGCTATTGCTTGAGTCTGTGCTTCACCAAAATTATTTTAGATAAAATAATTGCTTTGGGGTCAATTTTCTTTAACAATTAGAATGAAATTATTCATTTATTAACTTATAATTTGGGAGGACACAACCACCTGAGGTGAATCATCTCGTTTTCCAGTGGGTCCTCCGACAAAAGAGCAAAGAAAGCACAAGAAAGCAGACAGTAACAGAGAAGTCTACGACATAAATCGCCAAGCAAAAATAATTATTGTACGTTTACAAAATAAATAAGTGTACATATAATACTTTAGATATCTAGTCATACTATCAGGAAGTGGATTCAAAGCAATTTAAAGTCTGCTTCCACTGCTCATGATCAGCCTCTCTAAAGAAGCAGAATGAAGATACTGATGTTAAATGAGCAGGTCACTTGTTCCAGTCCGAGGAGCTTTCACATAAAAGGCACGTGTTCCCACTTCCACTACACGGGAGTAAAGGCTGCTAACAACATCTTCACATAGGATGGACAATCAAAACACATGCATTTCAAAATCAGTAACAACCGATGGAACTGACCGCTGGCATTTAAGGAAAGCCATGAATGGCGCTAATACATTGATGCGTGATTAATCAAAATGTATTAATTAGAAAGCCTCCAATCGATTAGATTAATTGTTTTAATCGAGTCCCACCCTTAAAAACTGAAACAAGAAACCAATTAAAACCTCCAGGATAATTAAAACCGCTCAAACACCGGATTCAAACGTAGAAGTGGATTTCTACTAACTCAGGTTTATCCAATCAGGGCAGAGGGTCTTACAACCAGATATATCTGGTAACACCTTCATGTCTTCACTGGTTCTCACCACAGAGACGATTCACAAAGAAACTCACTCCTCAAGCTCCAGAGCATCATGTGCTGCAGAGATACGAGCCTGTGGGTT